TTATGCATTCTGGCGTTCGTAGATACAAGAAAACTGTTAAAATTCTTCAGAAACGTCACTTTCGAAGTGTTTTCTTGTACTTTTAAGCCACTCAGATACCCAACGGGCTCGGAAAGTGCAACGAAACCATCAAATTTTAGCTAGAAACTGTATTTTTGTCGATTTTTATTGAATTTGAACTATATTTCAAAGTTTTTTGATGGTTCTGAGCCACCAAACACACTTAAAGCATGCAGAATCGACTCGGAATAGGAAAAGGAGAGGTTTAGGTCAATTTTATACATTCTGGCGTTCGTAGATACAAGAAAACTGTTAAAAATCTTCAGAAACGTCACTTTTGAAGTGTTTTCTTGTACTTTTAAGCCACTCAGATACCCTACGGGCTCGGAAAGTGCAACGAAACCATCAAATTTTAGCTAGAAACTGTATTTTTGTCGATTTTTATTGAATTTGAACTATATTTCAACGTTTTTTGATGGTTCTGAGCCACCAAACACACTTAAAGCATGCAGAATCGACTCAGAATAGGAAAAGGAGACGTTTAGGTAAATTTTATGCATTCTGGCGTTCGTAGATACAAGAAAACTGTTAAAATTCTTCAGAAACGTCAATTTTGAAGTGTTTTCTTGTACTTTTAAGTCACTCAGATACCCTACGGGCTCGGAAAGTGCAACGAAACCATCAAATTTTAGCTAGAAAATGTATTTTCGACGATTTTTATTGAATTTGAACTATATTTCAACGTTTTTTGATGGTTCTGAGCCACCAAACACACTTAAAGCATGCAGAATCGACTCAGAATAGGAAAAGGAGACGTTTAGGTCAATTTTATGCATTCTGGCGTTCGTAGATACAAGAAAACTGTTAAAATTCTTCAGAAACGTCACTTTTGAAGTGTTTTCTTGTACTTTTAAGCCACTCATATACCCTACGGGCTCGGAAAGTGCAACGAAACCATCAAATTTTAGCTAGAAACTGTATTTTTGTCGATTTTTTAAGAATTTGAACTATATTTCAACGTTTTTTGATGGTTCTGAGCCACCAAACACACTTAAAGCATGCAGAATCGACTCAGAATAGGAAAAGGAGACGTTTAGGTCGATTTTATGCATTCTGGCGTTCGTAGATACAAGAAAACTGTTAAAATTCTTCAGAAACGTCACTTTTGAAGTGTTATCTTGTACTTTTATGCCACTCAGATACCCTACGGGCTCGGAAAGTGCAACGAAACCATCAAATTTTAGCTAGAAACTGTATTTTTGTCGATTTTTATTGAATTTGAACTATATTTCAACGTTTTTTGATGGTTCTGAGCCACCAAACGCACTTAAAGCATGCAGAATCGACTCAGAATAGGAAAAGGAGACGTTTAGGTCGATTTTATGCATTCTGGCGTTCGTAGATACAAGAAAACTGTTAAAATTCTCCAGAAACGTCACTTTTGAAGTGTTTTCTTGTACTTTTAAGCCACTCAGATACCCGACGGGCTCGGAAAGTGCAACGAAACCATGAAATTTTAGCTAGAAACTGTATTTTTGTCGATTTTTATTAAATTTGAACTATATTTCAACGTTTTTTGATGGTTCTGAGCCACCAAACACACTTAAAGCATGCAGAATCGACTCAGAATAGGAAAAGGAGACGTTTAGGTCGATTTTATGCAATCTGGCGTTCGTAGATACAAGAAAACTGTTAAAATTCTTCAGAAACGTCACTTTTGAAGTGTTTTCTTGTACTTTTATGCCACTCAGATAACCTACGGGCTCGGAAAGTGCAACGAAACCATCAAATTTTAGCTAGAAACTGTATTTTTGTCGATTTTTATTGAATTTGAACTATATTTCAACCTTTTTTGATGGTTCTGAGCCATCAAACGCACTTAAAGCATGCAGATTCGACTCAGAATAGGAAAAGGAGACGTTTAGGTCGATTTTATGCATTCTGGCGTTCGTAGATACAAGAAAACTGTTAAAATTCTCCAGAAACGTCACTTTTGAAGTGTTTTCTTGTACTTTTAAGCCACTCAGATACCCTACGTGCTCGGAAAGTGCAACGAAACCATCAAATTTTAGCTAGAAACTGTATTTTTGTCGATTTTTATTGAATTTGAACTATATTTCAACGTTTTTTGATGGTTCTCAGCCACCAAACACACTTAAAGAATGCAGAATCGACTCAGAATAGGAAAATGAGACGTTTAGGTCAATTGTATGCATTCTGGCGTTCGTAGATACAAGAAAACTGTTAAAATTCTTCAGAAACGTCACTTTTGAAGTGTTTTCTTGTACTTTTAAGTCACTCAGATACCCTACGGGCTCGGAAAGTGCAACGAAACCATCAAATTTTAGCTAGAAAATGTATTTTCGTCGATTTTTATTGAATTTGAACTATATTTCAACGTTTTTTGATGGTTCTGAGCCACCAAACACACTTAAAGCATGCAGAATCGACTCAGAATAGGAAAAGGAGACGTTTAGGTCGATTTTATGCATTCTGGCGTTCGTAGATACAAGAAAACTGTTAAAATTCTTCAGAAACGTCACTTTTGAAGTGTTATCTTGTACTTTTATGCCACTCAGATACCCTACGGGCTCGGAAAGTGCAACGAAACCATCAAATTTTAGCTAGAAACTGTATTTTTGTCGATTTTTATTGAATTTGAACTATATTTCAACGTTTTTTGATGGTTCTGAGCCACCAAACGCACTTAAAGCATGCAGAATCGACTCAGAATAGGAAAAGGAGAGGTTTAGGTAAATTTTATGCATTCTGGCGTTCGTAGATACAAGAAAACTGTTAAAATTCTTCAGAAACGTCACTTTTGAAGTGTTTTCTTGTACTTTTGAGCCACTCATATACCCGACGGGCTCGGAAAGTGCAACGAAACCATCAAATTTTAGCTAGAAACTGTATTTTTGTCGATTTTTTAAAAATTGAACTATATTTCAACGTTTTTTGATGGTTCTGAGCCACCAAACACACTTAAAGCATGCAGAATCGACTCGGAATAGGAAAAGGAGGCGTTTAGGTCAATTTTATGCATTCTGGCGTTCGTAGATACAAGAAAACTGTTAAAATTCTTCAGAAACGTCACTTTTGAAGTGTTTTCTTGTACTTTTACGCCACTCAGATACCCTACGGGCTCGGAAAGTCCAACGAAACCATCAAATTTTAGCTAGAAACTGTATTTTTGTCGATTTTAATTGAATTTGAACTATATTTCAACGTTTTTTGATGGTTCTGAGCCACCAAACGCACTTAAAGCATGCAGAATCGACTCAGAATAGGAAAAGGAGACGTTTAGGTCGATTTTATGCATTCTGGCGTTCGTAGATACAGAAAACTGTTAAAATTCTCCAGAAACGTCACTTTTGAAGTGTTTTCTTGTACTTTTAAGCCACTCAGATACTCAACGGGCTCGGAAAGTGCAACGAAACCATCAAATTTTAGCTAAAAACTGTATTTTTGTCGATTTTTATTGAATTTGAACTATATTTCAACGTTTTTTGATGGTTCTGAGCCACCAAACACACTTAAAGCATGCAGAATCCACTCAGAATAGGAAAAGGAGAAGTTTAGGTCAATTTTATGCATTCTGGCGTTCGTAGATACAAGAAAACTGTTAAAATTCTTCAGAAACGTCACTTTTGAAGTGTTTTCTTGTACTTTTAAGCCACTCATATACCCTACGGGCTCGGAAAGTGCAACGAAACCATCAAATTTTAGCTAGAAACTGTATTTTTGTCGATTTTAATTGAATTTGAACTATATTTCAACGTTTTTTGATGGTTCTGAGCCAACAAACACACTTAAATCATGCAGAATCGACTCAGAATAGGAAAAGGAGACGTTTAGGTCAATTTTATGCATTCTGGCGTTCGTAGATACAAGAAAACTGTTAAAATTCTTCAGAAACGTCACTTTTGAAGTGTTTTCTTGTACTTTTAAGCCACTCAGATACCCTACGGTCGCGGAAAGTGCAACGAAACCATCAGATTTTAGCTAGAAACTGTATTTTTGTCGATTTTTATTGAATTTGAACTATATTTCAACGTTTTTTGATGGTTCTGAGCCACCAAACACACTTAAAGCATGTAGAATCGACTCAGAATAGGAAAAGGAGACGTTTAGGTCAATTTTATGCATTCTGGCGTTCGTAGATACAAGAAAACTGTTAAAATTCTTCAGAAACGTCACTTTTGAAGTGTTTTCTTGTACTTTTAAGCCACTCAGATACCCTACGGGCTCGGAAAGTGCATCGAAACCATCAAATTTTAGCTAGAAACTGTATTTTTGTCGATTTTTATTGAATTTGAACTATATTTCAACGTTTTTTGATGGTTCTGAGCCACCAAACACACTTAAAGCATGCAGAATCGACTCAGAATAGGAAAAGGGGACGTTTAGGTCAAATTTATGCATTCTGGCGTTCGTGGATACAAGAAAACTGTTAAAATTCTTCAGAAACGTCACTTTTGAAGTGTTTTCTTGTACTTTTAAGCCACCCGACGGGCTCGGAAAGTGCAACGAAACCATCAAATTTTAGCTAGAAACTGTATTTTTGTCGATTTTTATTGAATTTGAACTATATTTCAACGTTTTTTGATGGTTCTGAGCCACCAAACACACTTATTACTGCAAACAGACATAGAAGTCAGGCTGGAGTATCGGACGATAACCCTTATATCTTTGGCTTGCCGGGGAAAATGGTAGGACAGCGATACAGAACTTTAGAAACGTGTCGAATAATTAGAAAGTATACAGCTATGGCAAAATTACAAAATCCATGTTCTATAAGAACAACCCTTCTACGAAAACAGTTTGCAACAAAGACCTCAACAATGAACCTTCAGGATCATCAAAAAGAAACCGTCGTTAATTTTATGGGTCATCAACGAAATATACACGACGAGTATTACAGGCAGCAAATAGTTGTAGGTGATTTAATGATAAAGAAAATCTTAGATCAAGAAAGCCAAATGACCATGAACGAAATTTGTGAAAGAAATGAAGACAAAACTATTGATCCAGGTATTTTTGGAAAAAAAATAGGCATTTTGTTATAACACTTATGTTTTTTTTTTTAGATATAGAACGACCTCTTGTCACAAATTGTTCTGTTAGGACTTGCACTGAAGGTAATCACTTAATACTAAATTCACAAAATATTGCTAAGTTTTTTAATAAAGAACTTAGGAGAGAACTTTTTAATTCCTGAGTGTAGTATATGTGTAAGCATTTGTGTATAAGAGGTTGGATAACGACGGCACTACCCCACCACCTGCGACGGTGGCATGATGGCCGCCAATAAACCTACAATAATCTGACGTCTTATTATTGAGTCTTATTCCTGTGATATATATATACGAATACACAAAATATGGCGACGAGCAAATTATGAATACAAGGGAGTAACTTTCAACGCAAGAACGGGAGGAAAAGGTGAGAAAGTCTAACCGTTCTGAAAAGCACTCACAAGCATGGCTATCTACATCGGCATTATCCCTACGTTCACACCGGACAGTGACTTCACGATTTTCGAAGAAAGGTTCGAACAGTTCTGCCTCGTGAACAAAATCGTGGACGAAAAATGCAAAGTTGCCCTGTTGCTAAGTCAGATGGAAACGGATGTATACAAGATACTTCGCGATTTGTCATTTCCAATTCCACCCAAGGACAAGTCTTTAGAAGAGCTGAAAAAGGAGCTCCAAAAGCATTTCAGTCCAAAAGTAAACGTGTTTAGGGAACGAATTCAGTTCTTCCGAGCCCACCAAACCACCGAAGAAACTTCTAATGAGTGGTATGCAAGATTAAAAAATCTCGCTGTCAACTGTAAGTTTGAGCATCTCCAAGAGACACTGGTTGATCGGTTCGTGTCGGGAATGCGAGAGGGACCCGTTATGGACCGACTAGTGGAAGAACCAGTCAGTCAAAGTCTCGAGAAGTTAATCGAAATTGCCAACAGCAAGGAGTTGGCGTTAGCATACACCACTGGTAAAGGAAGCGAGGACAGAATTCAGGCAGTATACAGTGGTCACCGTAAACTAGGCAACTTCCGGGGAAGAAACCAACACAAACCCAGAAAACCAGATGCAAATGAAGAGTATAAAGAAAGTTATGACATGGGAAGAGTGAAGAACCAAAGCAGAACCACCGTGAAATGTAAGTGCTGTGGCAAAACACATGCTGGAACGTGCAAGTTCCAGAATTATACCTGCAATGCATGTGGCAAAAAGGGACACTTACAGAGTGTCTGCAGGGCAAGGCAGATCAACGCAGTGGAGACCCTACAAAGTGAACAAGGAAGCGGAAGCGAGGTTAGTATATATGACGAAGGACATTATCTAAACTCTATATATAACATTAACAACACTCTTAAGCCAATCGAACTCTCCGTGTTAATAGATGGCAAAAAATATTGCATGCAGTTAGATTCAGGTTCCGGCATATCTGCAATAAGCAACAAGTTTTATGTAAATAATTTGAACACTTACCAAATTCATCCAACTGTAATGTCGTTTAAAGGTTACACAGGTGAATCAATTGTACCGTTAGGATTCATAAATGTTATAGTAGAATATGGAGATATGGCAAGTGAGTTAAAACTATTTGTAATTGAAAATGCTATGACAGGATTGTTAGGCAGGGATTTCATCAATAATTTTAACATTATTTTCACTCCAGCAGGAATAAACGCGGTGGACTCAATGGATGTGAAGGCAACATTACAGGCAGAATTCCCAGAGGTTTGCAGTGAGACCTTGGGATGCTACCAACATGGGAAAATTTCGTTAAAGTTGAAACCTAATGCTATTCCTACACATCATCCACCCAAACCCGTACCTTTGGCCTTAAAAGCAAAAGTCGAATATGAACTCGAAAGAATGCAACAACGGGGAATTATGACGCCCACAATAACAACCGATTGGAGTTCATATATAGTTCCAGTAATGAGAAAAAACGGAACGATACGTATCTGTGGAAGCTATGTAGGTCTGAACAAGAACTTAATTGACGTGTTTTATCCATTACCACGCATTGAACAAATTTATGCCAGCTTGAATGGTAACTATCTCTTTTCAAAAATCGATCTCAGTGATGCATATATGCAATTTGAATTGGATGATGAATCAAAGAAATTAGTAACTATTTCAACGCACAAAGGTTTATTCACAGTCAATAGAATGCCATTCGGAATTAAGTGCGCTAGTTTCTACTTTCAGAAGCACATAGACCAATTATTTCAGGGTATAGATAATGTATTTACCTTTCAAGACGACATTTTAGTTGGACACAAACGTGGAGAAGACCATCTAAATACCCTAAGAAACGTAATGTCCATATTGAAAAAGGCAGGTCTTACTGTCAATCTCCAGAAGTGCTAGTTTCTACAGAGTAAAGTATCATATTTGGGGTATGATTTATCCGAAGATGGACTTAGCAAAAGTAAAGACAAGGTGAAGGCGATAGTGGCAGCTCCGAGACCCACCACAGTCACCGAATTGAAGTCGTTCATCGGTATGGTAAACTATTACAGCAAATTTGTGAATAATCTAGCGGACAAATTGTCACCGCTGTACAATTTACTCAAGAAAGGAGTAAAGTTTGTGTGGAATCAAGAATGCGAAAGCACGTTCGAAAAGATTAAACTGATTATTGCGTCAGAAGAAGTTTTGACCTACTTTAATCCTGACCTTCCGATAATTGTGACATGCGACGCATCAGAGAGGGGCATAGCTGGAGTTCTTTCCCACAAAATGCCTGACAACACAGAAAGAACAGTTTGTTGTATCTCGAGAACTTACAGCAAATCTGAACAAAATTACTCGACCGTCCATAAGGAAAGTTTAGCATGTTATTTTGCGGTATCGAAGTTTCAAGAATACCTATTTGGGCATAAATTCGTGTTAAGAAGTGACCAAAAATCGTTAATTTCCCTCTTTGGCAAGCGGAAAGAAATCAACCAAACTTATGCAAATCGAATCAAAAGATATGCTTTGTATTTCTCCAATTTCGACTTCGTAATTGAACATATAAAAGGAAGCGATAACGTAGTGGCAGACTGCCTGTCACGATTGCCATTACAGGAAGCTGTGGACCATGAAGAGCATATCGATAGTAATATTTATTTTGCGAATCTTGAAGTACCTCTAGATAACATGATGGTTCGTGAAGAAACTATAAACGACCCTGTCCTAAAAAAGATAGCACGTTTCGTTCAAACACAGTGGCCTAATAGAATTTATGAGGAAATAAAGGCATATCACAATCGTAAGTTAGATTTGTATGTGGAAAATGATTGTTTGTATTATGGTGACCGCATTGTAATACCATCCAGCATGCAAGACATAGTATTAACAGAGCTACACGCCACGCACGAAGGGATAGTGCGGACGAAGTCAATGGCTAGATCTTACTTGTGGTTCCCAGGTATAGATAAGCGAATAGAGACTATGTGCAAAGCATGTGCACCATGCTTGTCTGTAGCAGCACATCCCCCAAAAACAAACATTCCATGGCCTGAATCTAGCATCCCATTTTCAGTAGTACACATAGATTTCTTCTCATTCAAAGCAAGGGATTATTTGGTAATTATTGACAGCTGTACAAAATGGATTGAGGTTTACTCAATGAAAAACATAACCTCCAAAACTACCGTCGAAATGTTACGCGATTGTTTTTCGAGGTTCGGACTACCACGAACAATAGTATCAGATAACGGTCCAACCTTCGTGTCTGAAGAAGTTGAACTGTTCTTTCATAGAAACGGCATCAAGCATTTGACAATCTCACCCTATAATCCACAAAGCAATGGTCTCGCAGAAAATGCTGTAAAAACCGTGAAAAACAAATTAAAGGCCGCACTAGTAGACGAAAAAAATAAAGACGTGCCAGTGTCTACATTGTTGGCACGATTTCTAATGATTAACAGAAATACTCCACATACGACAACAGGCATTTCGCCAGCTGAAGCCATGTTTGGTAGAAAGTTGCACACCAGAGTTAGCATGTTGAAAGAGAAGAAACCCTATTTGACAAACACTAACAAAACACGGGCCGAGCGCGAAGTACGGAGTTACAAGGTCAATGATAAAGTGATCGTTAGAGACTACAGGTCAACAAATAAATGGATGGAAGCTACGATAGTTAAGAAGATAGCAAATGCAACGTATATGTGCAAAACTAAAATCGGAATGATTTGGAAAAGACACCCAAATCAAATTAAAGGGAGGATAGAGGCAGTCAGCAATAAAGCGGACGAAAACGTCAGTATCAAAACAAATGCACCAATGACCAGGGTCGGTATTCCAATAAAGTACCCTAATCCTTCACCAATTCTCACCACTCTCCTGATATTCCTCCAGGTAGCTCAGCCTCTCCGGGTCCCTCTGCAGAATCTGAAATAGAGCCTGAAATTTCACACCATGTTCCAGATCGAAGTTTGCCGGATGCACACGTTGAGCCACCCAGCAATCCGAGAACAAATCATAATAGACCTATCAGAATTGTAAAGCGGCCTAACAAATTCACAGACTTTGTTATGGACGAGCGCTAGTATCGAATATTCATATGTATAGTTATATTTATTGATTTTTATTGTTAGTTAACGTTATTATGCTTATTTTGTATTAACGAGGATATTTAGAATTAGTTTCGAACATAAGGGAGGAGATATGTAGTATATGTGTAAGCATTTGTGTATAAGAGGTTGCATAACGACGGCACAACCCCACCACCAGCGACGGTGGCATGATGGCCGCCAATAAACCTACAATAATCTGACGTCTTATTATTGAGTCTTATTCCTGTGATATATATATACGAATACACAAAACTGAGCATACGCTGGGGTTCATTCTGATGGCTGATTTTATTTTCTCGATGTTTTATTTTTGTTCAAGACGAAAAAGTTTCTGGCTCGTTTCTGGCTGTCTATCAGCGACTTTATTAGGTAAGTGATCTCCAAAACTACCAGAAAGATTGTTGTGTAGATGATATTTTAGCAACCAAACTTTATTCTTTTATTCCCACCAACAATTTGAAGACATTCACATTTTTGGGAAAAAATCACTATTGTGTAACAATATAACTTTAAAGCTGCAATTCCTAATGCTTCTGAAATCTTGCAAAGATTGTAAAATTATCATAGCCAAGATAAGTTGTTAATCAAAATGTATCTGCTTATCCCCTTTCAAAGAATTGATGACGTACTTTCATAATTTTGACAAATAAATCCTATCTCAAACATGCAAAATATTATGAATCTATACTTTCACAGGCTCTTGTAAAAATTATGAATGCCTTGGTAAACTACTTACAAGTGTAGTAGTGATGTCTGACAAGAACGCACGTGTTATATGTGCTGTCTGCGATTCGGCCGAAGACGACACTAAGGCCTTAATTACGTGCTCTGTGTGTACCAAAAGCTTCCACCCCCGCTGCGTTAATGTGAATCTACGAGGTTTCTATAAGAAGAAGAACTGGATATGTAACACCGCTGTTTGCCGTGAAACCTCCGAAGATTCCGAGGATATGGAATTCAAAAGTGACATTTTCCTGGACGCAGATGACAAAGTAGTAGATTATAAACTTTTCCATTACATTTTGAAACAGAAAGATGAGTTAATCCTCGAATTAAGAGGTGTTATCAAATTAATGAAGAGTCACATTGACCTACTACACTATAAAAACCCTGAAAACCCCGACAAGAAGGTCGGTAAGAAACCTGATAACGATATCGCCAACAGCGCTGAAGGCGAACCATCAAGAGAGACAGCAGCTATGGTCGACACGATTGAACACATAAAAACGAGAAGCGACACTACAATCAAAACAAACTCGAAATTGCCAAAATCGACCTTAAACAACACAAAAAAGGACGCTAAACATCATCAGACCCAAGATACGTGAACGACTTCCCGGAAGTGATCTGTGAACTACTTGAAAACAAACACGAAGAAAACCACGCCAGATTCAAAGTAACCATTAATTTTGAAAACCTCGAAAAAATTAACAAACCGGAATATTGGCCAAGCGGAGTTTTAATATCAAGATATTTTCACCCAAGGAAGCCACCGCAGCACCACAAATGACCTCGATAACAAGTGAGAGGAAACGTAGCAAATTGTCCCAGGAACGTTTAACAACTGACAATTGGTTGAATATTTTCTACATTAACATTCAGTCATTGAGATGTTAAATTAACGCAATAGAATTATTTTTTCTAGACAACCCTTTTGACATTATCTGTTTTAGCGAACACTGGCTGAAGATGGAGGAAATGGAGATTCTAACAATACTCAAATATAAGGTCGCTGGTAGTTTTTGCCGTAGCAACGGATATGGAGGATGCGCGATATTGGTAAATACTAGCATAAGATACTCGGTTGTAAATTTAACATCGGTTTGTAAAGAAAGAGTTTTGGAAGCAGCCGGAATATACTTAGTCGGCAAGGGGGTTTATATCATTACCATTTACCGACCGACAAAATGTAATTTTGAAGAATTTTTATACTTATTTAACAACCTTCTTTTAAAGTTGGGCGATAAGGACGCAATAATAATAGGCGATTTTAATATTACGTTTAATTCACCAGATCATAACGTAATGACTTTCCTAGATCTTATTCACAGTTACCAAATGAGAGTTCTAGTTAAGGAAAACACGAGAAAGCTAAACTGCATTGACAACATTATAACTAATATAAATACACCATACAGAACTAAAATTATTGAGACTAGACTATCAGATCATGATGCCATCAGTATCGACGTGAGCGTTCCAAAGTCCGAAACAAATTGTGGGAGTAAAACAGTGGCGGCTCGTGAAGTTTTCTTCAGAGGAGGCTCAAATTTGAAAAGCACTACTTTTTATATCTTTCATTATCTGAATATTTTTTTTGGCATGCCCACGAGAAGAACACTCCTGCGTTGATAGATAAATAAACTATTGCATTGATTAGTCTTTTCAAAATTGCCCTATTTTCACCAACTTTCTCGTTATAGTTCTCAATATCCCTCTTATGAGCGGAATCTAAAGTAGTAGATGTGATTTTTCATGCCTTTCTATAGCTCTTAACAAATTTTGTAAATTATTATAGCCTGTTTTATCCCAAACGGAAGATTTATCACTTGTGAATAATTCCAACAGTATAATTTGTTTCTTAAAACCGAAGGCGTTAACCATTTAGTTTTATTATAATTATTTTCATGAAATGCTCTGTTTTGCTTTTTACCTGTCATTACCATTAATGGGAGTGTTGGTGTTGGTCTCCCCTTTTGTTTTATAGCGATCTTTTTATCACAATCAAAGCTACTAAATTAATTTTTTAATAGATAATTTACGTATCTGCACATGAGACTGAATTATTTTCGTTGCTCATTCTCGATAAATAATATTAATATGCCGATAATACCAACTGTTTTTAACGATCAGAAATAAAATGCAAATAAATGATACAAAAAACACCTTAGGCTTTACGTAGGTACTACGTAAAGCCTAAACACCACTCACTACTGAATAGGGAGCACGCGAAACCACCTCAATGTTTTTCCTATTTACACCCGATGGCGCTAATTAATAAGAAAGAGATAAAATTATCCGTGCGACTTGATCTGAAAAGAGATGAACTAGCCGGAGGCTAGCGGCCTGAAGCGGCACCCCGATCGACGTTGTAGCCAATGCAGTACTCAATGACGCTGCGTCTAGGTCTACGGTCTCAATAGCAAGATACATTCTCGGCGGAGGCTAGCTTCTACCGCTGAAGTCAAACGCGGAGCGGTCTGAATTATGATTGTAAGGGCGCAAATATATTTTTTTTTCGACATTTTGAACTGATATATGATGAAAGTAAATTAAATCAAACAAAATATCCTGAAAAGTAACAAATGTCTACAATAATAAAAATTCTTTCATCGAAAAAATTAGAGGAAGCTCAGCTCCAAAAAACAGAGGAGGCTCAGCCTTCTCTGCCTCCTCTGAGGAGCCGCCACTGGAGTAAAATATCGTGCAGACCTTTTACAAAACACGGATTATATATGTTCTATAACTATGTATCTGAAATTAACTGGTTCTTTGTTGAGGATGTCAGCCTCAGTCTAGAACAAAAATGGCAACAATTTGTAACTTCACTATCAAATGCAGCAAAAAAATCATTCCCACTAAAGACTTTCAAAAAGGAGAAGTCTGCCAGTACCGCATTCCTAAAAAAAAACACAGAAGTATTACAGTTAAAGGAGTATGTAGAATTATTTCATAGTTTAAAATCACATTTCCCGGGGAATGAATATTTTAAAATTGCATGCAAAGAGTACAAGAAACTTCTTAATGACAAAGTAAACTACCTCAAAAAGAAAAATATAGAACACGTACTCAAAAGCTTGCCCAACTTACCTAGGGACGCGTGGAAAATAAGTAATACCAGCAGAAATAGTAATAAAAATAATAATTGTTCTGAGGTACTCAATGCGGAGGATTTTAATAGCCACTTTGTTAATGTTGTTCATGACTTAAAAGTAAAAATGGCGAATGACCCGGAAATTCTAGCGGACCTAGCTGACACACAAACAAATAAACATTGCCCTACAAAGTTCACTTTTAAAGAAATAAGTTTTAATGAAATTAGAGATGCAGTAACTAAAATAAAAAACAAAAATAGTAGGGACTTGGATGAACTTAACATTATCATGGTTAAATATATAATAAACTTAATAATTTCGCTGTTGACAAAACTAATAAATCTGAGTATAAAGCATGCATTTTTTCCACAATGTTTAAAATATTCCAAAGTACTCCCAGTTCATAAAAAAAACAGTGGGGACAGCTACAGTAATTACCGCCCAATTTCAATAATCCCAACATTATCAAAAATTTTAGAAAAACTTTTACACAAACAACTAACGGAATTTGCCTATAGCAAGGATTTGTTATGTTCTTCACAATTTGGGTTTAGGGCTAAGAGATCGACAACTTTGGCGATTCAGGAATTGATAACGTATATATCTGAAGGATTTGAAGAAAAAATGTATATTGGGGTCGCGTTTTGCGATTTGTCTAGGGCATTCGATTATGTGGACAATAATTTACTGCTCAGCAAATTAATAGAAATTGGAATTACGGATCAATCTCTCACACTACTAGAAAGTTATCTATTAGATCGTTATCAAGTCACAGTATATAATTCCGCCACATCTACTCCTTGCAAGATCGCGTACGGCGTGCCTCAAGGCTCCATTTTGGGACCCTTACTTTTCCTAATATACGTAAATAATTTACCGGCAGATGTAGATGTTAAAATGATCCTATACGCGGATGATACAACTTTGCTATTAAAAGATGACGAACCAAATAAACTAGTAGACAGGCTTAACTCAGCACAAACAAAGGTGGCGGATTTTTTTGTGAAAAACGGTCTCTTCTTAAACAAAGACAAAACGGCCTCAATGATCTTCTCAACAAAAACAATAACTTCAGAGAATCTTGAAAATATAAAATTCCTTGGAGTAATAGTGGATTCAAAGTTATCCTGGGACGCTCACGTTGATGCTGTTTGCCGTAAGCTCAATAAAACAATATATTTACTACGCAAGATCGGCAGACGAGTCCCAATAACTATTACTAAATTAGTTTACTATAGCCTTTTCGAAAGTCACTATGCTTATGCCATCCTAGCATGGGGACACACAGCGCATCTTTGTAGAATATTTAAGTTACAAAGAAAAGCGGTCAGAATAATACTGAACTTGAACTATCAAGCGGATGTGAGACATTTTTTTCCTGAACTAAACATACTCACGGTACCGGCATCATATGTCTACCAGTGTCTAATACATACAAAAAAATGTTTAGACAACTATACAAAAATTAGTGATAGACATCTATATAACACTCGGAGTGGTAATGGTATACAGGGTTAGTCACGAGAGAATTACCTCTGAAAATTATTTTTACGCAACCCAAAATACTAATACCCTGTACCACTTGATATTAACTAAATTTAAAATGAAATGCCTAATCCATGATTGCTTTGACTTTAGCAGTGTCACTTTGACGTTAATTAATTTTTAACATTTTTTTTTCATCGTTGACTCGCCTCTAGAGCCCCATTCGATCGACGACATACAGTCAGATCAATCTGGGCTATACTGAAGCCGTAAGTGCTCTACCAGTGTTGTTCGCCGCTAATGTGCATGTGTTAATTCGCCATTTCTGCGTCACCTAGAGCCTCTTCGAAGTGCAAATCTGCAACCTCTGGACTTCTTCGGCCATCCATTTACAAAAAAGCCGTAGCATCCCCCCAAAATGCCCAACATTTTCAACAGATTAGTAGTTAAATTATTTACTTACTTGTTTGAGTTTGTGTTGTAACCTTTGAATAAAATGCCGTAAAAGGAATTTTTAGAAATAATTTTCTCGTGATTAATCGGTTGCAAAAGATCAAGAGGCACACTGACAAATTTATTAGCGGCGCCGGAGGAGATTTCCGACTGGCTGCGGTACCACCATGGACACTCGCGTAACCTCTTTTTCCACAATTGTCAAAATGAGATTGCCAAACTCAAAGCAATCATGGATTAAGCATTTTATTTTAAATTCAGTTAGTATCAAATGGTACATGGCATTCGTATTTTGGGTTGCGTAAAAATAATTTTCAGAAGTAATTCTCTCGTGACTAACCCTGTATACCTCAATTATCTCAGAATATATAAAAGCCGTAATTCAATTAATTACTACGGCCCTAAATACTTTAACAGCTTACCTTGCAATATCGCAGCACTTCCGGAGCCACAGTTTAGGAACACTGTGAGACAAAAATTGTTAGAATCTCCACTTTACGACCTAAATATGAGATCTATAAGCCAGGTTTTTAATTAATTCTGCTGATGTACAAATATACTAAGGTGTAATTGTTTTGTATACGATATATGTGTATTTATGTTCTTTTATTTTGACCTTACTTAATGTCTGTGTACATTTTTAAAGTATAATAAATATTATTTTATTATTATTATTAATATTATTACAAGTATAGACTCAATATTTCGACGTTCGCAAGATTTTAGAGAATTTGGTTACAAACAATTTTGTGTTTTTTTTCTAAAAATTTGGGTTTCTAAGGTTAAAAAACAATGCGGATCCAGAAAGTATATATTTAGGAGTATGTTACTTTATAAAATTTGAATAACACCTACTATACACAGTTTTAAGGGTGACCTCATCACATTGTTGGTGGCGATAATTAGATTGGTTGGCATTCCAGCATGTTTCGGAGATCATCTGTTATAATAAAAGTCGATACAGTCATGAAACGTTGAGAACACATTAAAGTAGCCATTCGCCCCATGACATGAATGATTGCGATGATTGACAAATTTTAAATTATATATTTTTAGTTGGGAATTTAACTCCTCCGCCAAGTACCAGTCAGGAACCAGTTTTTACGACTCCAAAAAGTAAAATAAAAGTTGTTAGAAAATTTAATTATTGTAAGTATTAGTTTCATACTAAATTGAAAAGTCTTTTCTGCAGACACTTAACGAATATTGGCACCAGAAAGCGTTATGTAACAATTTTTATAACATTATAAACTTTATAATTTAACGTTTCATACGAATATATGTATTTAAACCTTTTAAAAACATTATGATGGTTCAGAAAATATTAAACAATTGATTTTACCAGGATTTTAGTTATTCCGTAAAAGGAAATTGACAACATATATTCCGTAATAAATCCGATTCACTTGTAGAAATTAACTTTTAAAATTTTTGTTTCTGTATTCCTAACAGATTGCAATAATTATTCACGTAATTTTTTAAGAAAAAAAATTTGTTAAATCATAGTTCCGCTAGTTTAGGCTAATAAGACTAATAAGCTGCCTATATTTTGAATCTTAACATTTTAGCTCCATCATCCGAACCATACAGCGGCGGAAGTAGTGATGTGTGGGACCCCGGAAATGTTTCCCACATTCAAAAAACCCTTGGTCCAAGTAAGTATACAGTAATACTTATATCCTAAAAATCAGAAACTTTAATTTCTAGTGACTACAAAACGCCGTGTGTGGTTGACACCAAAAAAGTCGACAGCAAAAGTTCTGTTTAAAAACTGCATAGAAAAATTAACAGTACCTAGTCTGGCAGAATGTTCAGAAGCTATTGCTCACTCAAAAACTCTGCAAACCCGAACGGCGCAGCAAGTAAGGCAGTGGGTGCAACACTATATTAAAACCAATTACTTGAAATGTAGGTATAATGATTTTATTTATTAAAACATTTCAAATCTGAGGAAAAAATTCTAGGTGATACTGCAAAAATTCGACGTCCCTGGAGTACACCAGAAAAGCAGCTTGTTCGTAAAGCTTTTGGCACCTACATTGCGGAAAAATTGTATCCATCAGGATTTGAAATAAGCGAATTAATTAAAAAAGATCCCATCCTCAGAAGGCGCTCCACAGCTTCTATAAAAAGTTTTCTGCAACATGAAAGATCAAAAATGTAATCATTGTGTTTGTTTATATGTACCCGTAATAAATAATTATAAATAAAGATAATAACCTAATTCAAATTCTGTTTTATGTTTTATTAGAAATAAAGTGGAAATAATGTCTTTAATTTGAAACTAAATTTTCTTAAAGTGCTATATTAGAATGCTGTAGCACGAAGTACATACATAAATGAATTCAATCCCATTTCCCCCTAAGTTAGGCACCCAGTAAAACACGATCGTAGCGAATTTCCGGTGCATACAGTTTGGCTTCACGTAAGAGTGCACATAATACTTGAGGTCAAACTGTTTGTTAGACATACATATATACATATATGTATGCACGGTATGTTGTTACCTCCGAAGCAGTGAGTATAGAGTTAAAAGAGAGGCAACCTTATGGACAAGTGCGGGGCTAATGCTCCGTCTTACCCCTCACTTCACTTCATCCATAAACGTAATAGTGGATAGTGGCTCTCCCTCCTTTTTTCTTGTGAACTACGTTAACAGTAGTCTGGACGAACACCAACTCATCAGACTTGTGGCCAGTGCGATTACGTTAAAGCAAAATAGCCCATCCCCAAATGAACGGTGGACTGGTGAAAGGTTTTTGTCCAAATTTAACCAAATTTCAGCTTTTCTTTAATTATTATTGTTATGATAAGCACATGTTGACAACATGCCAGTAAATCCCAATTTTTGGAGGATGCCTGGTGTATGCGTTTAAATTCATCCTTTATTTAAATAAAAAAAAAAGAAATGTGGTGTCGTGGGACACCAGGTAGGAACGAAGTTCCTTCGGTTAATGTAGAATCGACACAATTTGCAAAAAAAAAACGTGCTCAATTTTATGTAGGTTTTCTTGATTTTTCTCTTAAATTTTGCTGATTAGTTTTTATTTAAGTACAGGAAAATATTTAGGAAATTCAGTATTTTAGGAAATAATAAATTACGTAAAATAGGTAGAATTATCAAAATATATATATATTGAAATGTTTGGAATTCAAGGGAGAATTTGTTTTAATTATTTAAAAAAATAATCAATAAACTTTTTAAATATTGTCACTAGTTTAGAGGATATCTTTGCTTTATATCGTAACTTTCTTGCTTATTTTCATTTTTTTAGCTTTTTCGCGTTCCCTATACGCTTTTTGATACTCTGCTTTGCCATTGTTACTATATTTATTATTGTTTTGACGATTTGAAATTGTATGAAAATAAACGTGGTTACTCACGAGTAAAATGTATCTATAATGTGCGTATTCGCCACGTGCTTGTCCATGAATTCATGAGTATATACTATGCATTGGCGGGGTGGAGTGGTAATAGAGAGAGAAGGGATGAGAGAACGAAAAGTGTTTAGGACATTTTTTATATTTTGTCGGTGCGGTCTTCACGTGTTGGCGGTGTCTTTGTAAGGCAGCTGCACGTGTGCGGACCTTCAACCTTGTGTGGCGGCACAATAACACGTCGGTAAGCAGAAAATAAATAAGTCGTCTCGTGGTGTGGTGGTAAGCATTCGTGCCTGGAGACCAAGGAGACGTGCGTTCGAATCCCACCGAGGCACAACATTTTTTTCTCTGCTTACCTACACTTGTAAGGCGGCCATTTTTCCACGGAGTTTCCGTTACGGTTTTAGGATCACATTTGTTTCAGTTCGGTCGTGCAGCAAAATTCCTATCTCCTCCAAGCCTGCCGTAAGGAACTTCGTTCCAAAAATGAACGGCCATTATAGTAGATATAGTTATTATGATATTTTTATTATTTTTCAGTTTTTCGACCGTTTTATATTTCGATTTCTCAATTTTTCAACTTCTCGATATTGTAATTTTTCATTTTTAAAATTCTAGATTTTTCGATTTCTCGAGTTCTCAGTTGTTCTATATTTTAATGTTTTTATTTTCCCAATTTTTAAATTTTAGATTTTTCAATTTTTGAGATCCCGAATTATCAATTTTTCCATTTTTAACTTTTCGATTTGTCGATTTTGGCCTATTTCGGTTTCTCAATTTTTCGACTTTTCGACTCCTCGATTTCTCCATATTTTGATTTTTCGATTTCTCGATGTCTCAGTTTTTGAATTTTTCGATGTTTCGATTTTTCGGTTTTTGATTTTTACTTTTCGATTTTTCGGTTTTTCTGTGTTTAGATTTTTATATTATTCGATTTTTCAGTTTTCCAATTTTTTTTAGTTTTCGAGTTTTGATTTCTCGATGTGTTGATTTTTTAGTTTTTCGATTTTTATATTTTAGATTTTTCAATTTTTATTTTTTTTTATTTTTTGATTTTTAGATTTCTCCATTTTTCAATTTTACGATATTTTCATTTTTCAATGTTTTAAATTTTAGGCTTTTCGATTTTTCAGTTCTTCAATATTTTTTAATTTTTCAAATTCTGACGTTCGTGATTTTTAGAAAAAGCGACGGTTACGGTTTTCAGAAGAGTAAGAGTAAGAAATGGGATTAGCTTAACCTGCTGTGGGAAAATTTTGGGATACATTTTAATACGTCGGTATTAGTTTAAAAGTATAATTTTAGCAGGAACTACATACATACTTAAATCATAAAGTATATTATACATGGGAAAAACATTTCGCTAAAAAAATAAAAATAATTGTTTACAGTTTAAGAACAATGCAGGTGTGTATACGTTTAACAGATGCTACAAAATATACTATACCAGCGAGTATAGATGTTAATACATAGTCACTGACTATACTAAACTAAACACTATCGAATATAAAAAAAAAAATAACTTCCAATTTTCACAACAAATAAGAATGTGCTTACGAATAACATCTATTCTTTCCTGGTATAAAAGAAGAAAAACAGTACAATGTATTCAGATTTTCGATAAAATTCAATTATTATATAGAGGTCATACGTATAAAATAAGTATTATAAAATAAAAAGAAATGGTCGAATTTTTTTTAATTTTGGTTAGTGTTTTATCGTCCACATAATATTCCTAACATGTACAAAATTTGACAACAATCGGTACAGTTGTATCGAAAGTTAGTTATCTAATAATAATAAAAATTGATACAGACGCCAAACAGACAGACAGATAAATAGACAGACGGAAATGGGAGACTACTTTTTTCGTACTCTTGGGGTCATTAAATGTTGAGAAAACAAAAATGGCCATTCGTTCAATGAACTAAATTAAAACTATGTTACTATACCTATAGATATTTTGTAAAAATTTGAACAAAATTAGTTTTGTAGTTTCCAAAATAATTTATAAAATTTACTCATATACTTTGACCTTTCAATATTTTTAATTTACTCTTTGCAGATACAGTTTTTTCTTGAGACGAGGATAAAAACGTCTGTCTATTTAATTTAGTAATAATTAAATGCTCTATAATATATTTTTTGTGTAACGCAGTTAGCATTGTCGTATATCCAGTCGTTAATTAAACGATTCTTTTCAATGGCTTTACAAATCCGGTGACGTAGTTGCTTTTCATAATAATGCATTTTAAAATATTCATTGTGAATTTGAATAAATTTGTTAAATATTGCAACGAACTCCTTTTTAGGTCTTTTTAAGTATTTTATAGGGTTCTTTATATTCTTATATTGTTTATTTAATATTAATATTTCATTTTCATCGTTCATTTCTTCATTCCCCTTTAATAAATTATTTTCGCATGTTTCACATTTAAATTTTTTTAAACAACAGTGAGCTAAATACCCTGCAAAGTATGTCAGTGAACACATTTCTAATGTCACCGGAACATCCACAAATACAGGTGAATTTTCACCTAATAAAAGTGAATCAGAATGATGTGAAGTGGGTGATACAGCCTGATCATTATCTGTGTTTAAATTAACACAATATGGAGCAAATTCGCCACCTTCATTATTAAAAAAATTAATCTCTTTGTCTTCGTCATTTTCACAGTTACTAGTGTTTTCGTTGGCTTTAATTAAAGAAGATGACATAATATTTTGTAGTCCTAAACGAAAATGTTGTGCGGAAGGTTTTAAATCATAGCCGCGACGTTGTCGAATTTGTGAAAATAGGTTTTCAAGAGGATCTTGATTCAATTTAGAGGTTAGCAATATAGGATATGTATCTTTCATGTCCATCCATAGAGATAACACGACATTAATACTTTGAATTAATCCTTCGAAGCAGTACGGCGTATTTTTTCCTACTTTCCAAGATTGTATCCACGGAACAGCTTTTTGAATTGTGCCTATGACTTGATTACTTTCTTCAGATAGACCATAGCGCATTGGATTTCCATCAAAACAACGACGCGAATTTAAACAATCAAAAACATCATTAATTCGTCGAATAAAATTTGCTGTGTTTTTGGCAGTATTAGACGTTAATTGACGTGTTGAAATCGCAGTGTCCATAACATTTGCAACAGTCTTACTAAAAATTTGGACAGCATACCGAACTTTCATCTTTTCGAAATTATTAGGATTTATGTGGCTATTGGTAATTTTTAACAAACTGTGAGATAATTGACTGTTTTGATCAATGTGGTAAACTTCTGTAATATCTTTCCAAGAAACTGCTTCTCCGTTTACAATTATATCCCTCTTCAATAAAGAGTTGCGGACAGATTTAATTAGGTGGGGAACATCATACATAACATATATTTTTCTACTGTCAAAATAAAAATACGGTGACTCCGCAGATACCCCTAGTTGACTATAAGCTCCTCTATTATTAGTTCCTTGATCTGATGTCACTACTCTTACTGTTAAACCAATTTTTTTTGTATAACTAATTGCCGCTGTTATTAATTTTTTTAATATATCACCCTTTGTAGGCCCACAAGAAATGAAAAAACAAAACGGTACCTTCCAACTGCTGTACAGGCCTCGTAACATAAAAACTAAAGCCTCATTTCCCATTAAACCTGATCTACCTAACTGCCCAAAATCTTGGAAACCTTCAAATATATCTAAGTACTTGTTATAACTTACTCTTTTTTTTATTCTCATTTCATCAACAAGTAAAACACATTCTCGTTCCTGCTCGCTGAAATGTTCAAATTTTAATTTTAATTTCTTGAAATAGCTCCCGCAAAAACCTGCTTCTAGATAAATGACGCGTAACCATTTTCTGATTGTTGTTATACCAGGTAAAACAAAATTTAAACTATTTCGCATAAAGTTATAACATGAGGGGGACTTGTAATATAACGAAACAGCAATACGTTTTTCGTGTAGACTCCATACTGTGTTCTTTTTATGAAAGAGCTGCATATTTAAAAATGTTTTTAAAAAAGGTCCTTTATCTGCCAGAACTTCCCTCCGCCAATCAAATTTTGATAGATTTATAATTTTATTTTGTAATCTTCTATTTTTAGCTTTTTCTTGTTTCATTTTTTTGTTTTTTAATAGAATTTTTTTTCGTAAAGTCTGTTTTTGTGGAGTTATTTGCAATAAGGGTTTTGCAAGCGGTGACTCTAAATTAAATTCATGAAAATTTGGCTTATTTTTTTTTGTTGGAGTCAATGATTCGTCGTTACTTTCAGAAAATGTTAATTTCCTTTTTACCTTTTTAGTCGTCCGTTCATAGGTCCTTGTTACTAAGGACGTATCAAAGTGTAATGCAGCCGGCGACACTGAATTCGCTGAAGGAAGATCAGAACTTGTTTCCTGTAAAAGTAAATTTTAAATAGTTGATTTAATAAACTTAACTGTCTTTAATTTATACGCACCATTGTTTGCATTGAAGTCCCTTCTGTCAGTTCTGTTCTAGCGTTATTTGTAGTATTTTCATTTTGAAAATGAAGAGGAACAGCAGATGACAATAACCGATGATGAGCTTGATTATAAAATGAATGTTCAGCGAAATAAGCTTCGCATATACACATTTGTTTTAGTTGTTCCGGTGGAACATCTAAATATAAAAAATATACAGTTAGTTTGTAGCATATATTTTCTTATTCAAAATAGTTGTAGTTGTACATACACTTACCTAACAATTTTAAGTTTCCAGAGTTGATAATCCACTGTTCACATCTATCCGCATCTTTTATGGGAAATGAAAAAAAAACGAAAATTGCTTCGTTTCCTTAAAATATTGCAACCGAAATAATTGCAACGCGTATACGACATGATTTTAACAATTTAACGCTGCGAAACTTCGGAAGAAAATTATGAGTGTTTAATTCTTTTTAAGAATTCGTTTGTGTGGAAATTAAACGCTGTTTGGTTTAACAGAACTACATTTATTTCCCGAAACACGTCTGTTCGTCCAGACGACTGCAGTACAACTCTTAGTGCCGTTTACACATGTTCGGCACTGCTAAGATACAAGCCGCCCCTTTCGGCACTGTCGGCCGGCACCTCAAATGGTGCCGCCGCAGCTGGAAAGAACGACGTTCTTGCCCCACTCTGAAATCTCAAAACCCGGTTTTTAATATGTACGTACCTACCTACCATAAAATTACTACGACAGGGGTTGTACCGATTTATCAGTACAATTCCAAAGTACCTGTGGGTACAGGTATAAGGAGAATTTGTTAATCCTATTAAGTTTATTACTAGGAAAGGGAGGCGGGGAAGACACAAAATAATGCTGTTTACAAAGATATTGCTGGCACATCTTCAAGAAAGACATTGCCGACAAATTTCCAAAAGAAGATTTTACCCACAAATTTCCAAGAAAGGTATTCATTCATAAAACTGCAAAACAGCAGTTCAGTTTTGTTCCCACATCCTTATTTGATTCGAGTCGCAAAGTGTCGGTAATTTTCCG